GGGCCTATGCTTAAAATCAGCTTGCGACCTACCCACTCTATGAGTTGGGCTATCCTATAAGTTAAGCTAAATTGTGTTTCAGCCCATTAGCCTGCAACAGTTTATAAATAGGAAATCAGAATCCCATTATATTTCCTCTTCTACTAAGATTTCAAATCTTACTTAAACTATTAAACTTAATCTGATAAGGCTAAGAAATCATATTTCTTTCTTGATAGGGATTATCTCCCAAAAAAAAGGACTCAATGTCCTACAAAGATTCCAACGCCTTGGGTTCACTATAAGAACAGAGGCTTGCCCTCTCATTAGGTATGCAATCTCTCACAGTCAATCTACACTATTTAAAATCATTTATTTGCTCCTAAAGTTCTTGCTCCCAAGAACCCGACGCCTCTACCGTAGTCCTAGCCTCTGACAAGACTCCTGGTAATTGTTTATCTCTTTAATTCTTATCAAATAATCTCTTTTAGCCTTGCTGACTTGAGCGTTAGAGTGCCTACGGCAAACAACACCCCGGTGTTTTCCGGAAGCTTCACGCTTACCCTTTCATGTGTGGAAATCTAGCGGATTGTCAGTGGCTTCAACCTCACGAGATCAGACCCTACTTTATGACGGTAGAATTTTTGCATCTACACTTACACATAAATATTCATTAATACTTCTCAACAAACTTATTATCATAACAAAGAACTTTTGCTTGACTTTAGCCCGTAACAAACTTTATCAACAATTTCTCATGTCAAAATTGAACCTTATTTAAGAAACCAATTGTTAATAATAAAACTAAAAAGCTTCTTTTAATGGACGACCATAAATTATAATAGAAAGACTGTTACATAAGCTAAAGAACAAGTTTAAAAAGCAAACAACTTTGAAACTGCCATAACACGTATGTATAAATTAATTCTCTCTAGACCAAAAAGCATACAATCACATAACACAAAATCTTGTGGCGTGTTAGTTTGTTGCATAATTTTTGAAATTGTTGTTGTTGTTGGAGTCGCCAACGCCACATTTAGGGACATTACAAAAACCTTTGAAATTGTTGGCAAAAGATTTACGCAATGATATTGATGTTGCAGTCAAAGCCTACGCCGTTTAACTATAACAAGCTAAGAAAGTTCGATCGAATTTTAAGTTTATTCTTTATTATTATTATTATTTGGTATGTAACACTATTAAAAGCAAATTCAACTTTTGCAATCCTTTTATAAAATATACTATGTGATAATTTTGTACATATATGGGCCAAATATCGCATTCAGGCCTAATAATGAAATGAACAGATTACGGCCTAAGGCCTTAGCCTAATTCTGGTTGGGTTTAAGCTTAAATTTACCTTGTGAACTACCCTCTATATGAGTTAGGCTATTCTGCAAGTTAAGCTAAATTGGGTTTCAACCCATTAGCCCATAGCAGTCCATAATGGGAATCAGAATCCTATTTAATTTCCACTTCTGTAAAGATTCTGAATTTTACTTAAAGTGGAAGACTTAATCTGATAAAGACAAGAAATCATATCTCCTTCCCAAATTGAACTCCTCTACCAAGTAGGAGTCAAACTCCTACCAAGAGTCTAACCCCTTGGGTTCACTATATAAACAGAGGCAAATCATTTTATTTGGCATTTAGAAATCACCCGCAACACCTAAGCTCTTTCAAGAACCGTCGCATTATTCTGGTATTCCTTCTTATCCTTAGCTCTCACTAAATACCCTCAGCCTCGCTAACTTAAGCATCTGAGTGTCAATTTAAGATACAAGTGACAATTACAACCCAATCTCATGATTAATCAATTACTATTGTTGAGTTACAAAGAAATCTAGGTACTATCTAATAATATATAAAACATTTGAAACTCTTTGACTCAATCAAGATTTGAAAAAAAAAAAAAAAAAAAGTCTCATACGGCACAAATGTTTTTAAATCCTGCCCGATCCTTAACCCAGTCAAAAGGCCGACACTCGAGTTGGGCGGTCCGATTGGCGGGTTGAACTGATGACTTTAGCATGAAACCCTAGTATGAAACTTAGCAGACATACCCCTGAGAAATTTTCATTAGTCCCTATAGGTTTGAATTCTAGCAAACACAACCCTATGATCTGGCTGGGGAACCCCAGCCGTCACAACTACAATCCACCCCAGATTAGTCCAACGTCAGACAAACCACCATCAATCCACCACGAAAACCCTAATCCACCGCAAAACACCACCGTCTGCCACAACAAAACCCACTAGCAGCATGCGCAATAGGTTGGACGTGGTTGTGCTAGGCAGGATTGGTTTAGGAAATATGTCGAGTAGGTGGTGGGTCGAGTGGGAGGAAAAATATGGGTGGCCGACAGTGACAGTCGGCAGTCCAAACAAACACACAAAAAACAAAACTCCAATCCAAACTCCCAACAATCAAACAAAACGAAACAACAATCTCCCTACAATCAAACAAAACCAAATAAACTCCCAACAATCAAGAACATGTTTGCGATTGCAGGTAAGTGGGTGTGGCGGCTCGATCAGTTGAGAAAGTTGTAAGGGTGTTATTGGTGGTACGTGGGATTGTCGAGGTGATGGGGTATGCACGTGTTTGTAGGTGGCGGAGTGGCTGAGGTGTGGCGGGTCGCAGTCGCAAGGCATGTGACGCGAAGAAGAAACGCGGGGCGTCTCTTTCAAGCAACAATGTAGAGGCGATTCATTGACCCGACAGTTAAACCGACGGTTTAGCACTGTCCCATCGTTTCAATCATAGGTTAATCCGAGGCAATGACTGAAACTGGGTTTAGAGTGTCCCTAGACGGGAGAAGGGGTTATACTGTTGTTGGCATGCATAAGCCTAGCAAATAAGTATTAATTCATGATGAATCCATTTATAATATTTGATATTATACGCTTTCTTGGTGACAAAAAAAAAAAAAAAAGAATTAAAATCAAGAATATAACATTAATTTTGTTATGAGATATTCATCTCCATCGACCTCAATTTAATCTAGTCAATAAAGTAAATATTCCACTTTTAATTGCTTTGGCACCCACCCGAAAATGATACTTGGAATCAATAAAGTCGTATTTAGCGTCTGAAAACATAACTCCATTGCAATCATTTTCTTCGTTTCCCATTACAGCATGTCATTATAAATTTTTGTATTTTCTTCTTTTTATTTTTATTTATTCATCTTTCTCATTTAGTATATTATTTCTGATAATTTTTCAGTATTTTATTATTTTAAATAGAGAAATTTTTTAATGAAATGTAATATTTAAGTTTGATATAGGGGTATTTTTGTAATTTAAAAATGTAAAAGCAGCTTTTGAATTCTGTAAGTTACAAAAACCTATTCTTGAAATATTTTAATAAAATATTCTCATTCAAATCAGTTTACAAAACATTTTTTTTTTAATTATAAATTATGAAGTAAGTGATTATGGGAGAAGTTATAACAATTTGAAACTTATCGCATAGGAGGAAGCTAATGCTCGAGAAACTCAAAGCCACTTGACTTCAGCTTAAGGTATATATCTCATGAACATGTTTAACATTATAAGGTCCTGGGTGAAAAACAAAAATGAATTAAATTCAAAATAAAATATTAATTTCATTGTTTTAATTTTCATCAATATGTTTAATACATATCTTTATTAACCTCAATATAATTTAGATTCCACTTTTAATTACTTTTAAATATATATATGTTTAATATTATCATAATTTTTTTGTTGTTTTAATTTTTCTCATCTCAGTGGACATCATCAATTTCTTTTTTCTTCTACTTCATCTTTGTCTTCTTCTTTTTCCTTTTATTTATTTATTATTTTTCAATATATCTTCTATGTCATACAGTCTTTTCTTTTTCTATCATGTTTATACATATTCTTTTTATTTAAAAGATTGAATTCTTTTCTTTATATACGTAGAGCTTTATATCAACTATAAGAATGTGTCAATCGTATAGACATTATTGTTTTCTAGTTGATGCGGCAAGACTTGATACCCACCAAATAAGTTATTGGAGAAGAGCTCTAACCCGTTCCTCATGGCATGAACAAGCTATTATTGTCAAGAACGTGAACATTAAGTTTGTTTTTATTGACGAAGACTGATAAACATGCCTTTTAATAGGTCCAAATTTTGTTAGAATTTTTAAATAATAACTAATTATACTCTTCTTAGCAGAGCATAAGATACGTCTTCATCAATATATTTAACCTTTTATGTTATATATATAGATAAAACTTCAAACAATCATATTGTTAAAGCTTGCATAAGCCTGGCAGATGAATATTAATTGATGATGACTTCGTTTAATAAGATCAAGTAATTGAAAAGTTCGGCAATATATTAGAGATTATAAGTTTTTTCTGTAAAATAATAATAATGATAATAATATTAAGTATCACGGTCAACAATTTAATTTCTACAAAAATATCTTAAGACCTCAATTCAGTCTATTCAATAAAGTAAAATTCCACTATTAATTTCATTGGCACCACTTGGAAAACGATAATTGGAATTTGCAGAAGTCTCAAATGACAAAGACTATAAACATAACTACTAGTAGTGGTGGATTTTCATGAAAAAGAAGACAATTTCCCGTTCAGGCCTAGTACATTCCGCGTTAGTTCTCCAGTCTATGTTGGTTTCCGAGTTTCACAGATTAGTCCCCACCACAGAACCGATTCATGAAAAGGAAGACAATATTAATTGACCCTTCATTTCTTTCTATTTATAACCTTGTATGTCCTCGTGATTTCATCATTCGGAAAAAATGGGTTTTCTTTTGTGGGTTTATCAATTTTTATACATTCAGTTGTTGTATTTGTGCTCTCAAAGTTCTGCATCACTCTGCTCTCATGACCAAAGTTCTGCATTGCTCCAATTTTAGCAACTCTTTTCCTTCATGAATCGTTCGTCCTTTTATTGTGATTATTATGCAGAATATTCAGTTATTTATCAATGGGATACTCCACCATATTGTGATGGAAGGTGTCCTTCTTATCCTAAAACAATGTCTTGGAAAGAGGATAAAGATTGCTGCTCTTGGGATGGTGTCACTTGTGATTCTTTAACAGGTCATGTGATTGGTCTCGATCTTAGTTGTGGCTGGCTTCAAGGAAACATCTCTTCTAATAGCAGCATTTTTCTTCTCAATCATTTGCAAAAGCTGAACTTAGCTCACAATGATTTCAATCACTCTCAAATTCCTCCTGATTTTAATCGATTCACTAGTTTGACACACCTTAATCTTTCCAACTCAAACTTTTTTGGTCAAATTCCATATGAAATCACCCACTTATCTAAATTGGTCATGCTTGATCTTTCTGAAAATTCCCTTGAAACAACTACTGTAAAGGGGTTAGTTAAAAATTTGACCGATTTAACAGAACTTCTTCTTGATCATGTAAACATGTCTACTGTTGTACCAAGTTCCTTCATGAATCTATCTTCTTCTCTGTCTTCTTTGAGTCTCTCGAATTGTGACTTGCAAGGGAACTTTCCAGATAACATCTTTCACCTACCCAATTTAGAAATCCTGAATTTAGGAGGTAATTCCAATTTGACAGGTATTTTGCCAATGGTTAACTGGAGTAGCCCCCTTAGGTTTTTGGTTGTCTCTTACATGACTTTGCCTGGAGATTTACCTAATTCCATCGGCAATCTCACGCACTTAACGCATTTGGATTTCGCTCACTGCGGTCTCAATGGGTCAGTTCCCATTTCACTTGGAAACCTTACAAAACTTAATTATTTGAGGCTCTCATATAATAATTTGCAGGTCACATTCCTTCATTTCTTTCCAATTTTGATCAGCTCCATGCATTTTATCTTGGGTACAATAATTTCATCAGTGGATTTCCAGAATTTCTTGTCAACTTAACTCAACTTTCTCGTTTAAGCTTAGCGTCTAATCAACTAGTTGGTCCAATCCCTTCTCAAGTAAGTCCCCATGGAATTCTGGTTTTTATTAATTTACATAATAACTCTTTCAATGGGTCCCTACCATCTTGGCTATTCACTCTACCTTTATTACAGTATGTGGATCTTTGTTATAACCAATTAACTAGCACTATAGATGAATTTCAAAGTAAATCATTGAAATTTATTTATTTGCATAATAATAGATTGCACGGGTCAGTTCCAGGTTCAATATTTGAACTTGTGAATCTGACTCATCTCTTTCTTTCTTTAAACAATTCAAGTGGAACTGAGCTTTACTTGTTTTCAAAGCTCAAAAAACTTGAAGTGATTTATCTTTCCAATATCAATCTATCATTGAGCACCACATTCAACATTAACTCTTCCTTTACCAAACTTCGGTACTTGAGATTATCAGCTTGTAACATAAGTGAGTTTCCGGATTTCTTACGTAGCTCACACCAATTAGAGAATCTAGACCTTTCTAACAATAAAATCCATGGTAAAATTCCCAAGGGGGTGTGGGACACTGGAAAAGATACTTTGCATTTGCTAAATCTTTCCCACTACTCTCTTACAGGCATGGAACGACTTCCATGGAAAACTCTTGAATTTCTAGACCTTCACTCCAACTTGATTCAGGGGCCACTGTCCAAATCCACCACCTTACTTGAGTTTGTTTTCTTTGTCAAACAACAATTTCACGGGAGAGAAACCTCTCAGCTTTTGCAATATGAGTGCCATAGCAATTCTAGATCTTTCTTATAATAATTTGAGTAGTACAATTCTGAAATGCATGGCAAACTTTAGTAGTCTTCATGTGTTGGATCTACGAAAAACTAGATTGTATGGCAGCAATCCTGGAATTTTTGCACGAGGCAATCATTTCAGGACTCTTAACTTCAACGGCAATGGACTTGAAGGGCCAATCCCACAAAGTTTGGTTAATTGTACCATGCTTGAAGTTCTAGATCTCGGAAACAACAAGATCACTGATAGTTTCCCGTATTGGTTGGGAGATCTTTCAAAGTTGCAAGTTCTTGTTCTTCGCTTCAACAACTTTTATGGTTTTGAGTGGGGTTCTTCTGAATTTAATAGTTCTTTCACTATGCTGAGGATCTTAGATCTCTCACACAACAATTTTAGTGGTCGTTTGCCAACAAGGTTCTTTGAGAATCTAAAAGCTATGATGAATCTTGATGAAGCCAAAAGGAAGTTGGATTATATAGGTGAAACATATTATCAAGATTCAGTGGTGATGGTAGTTAAAGGTTTTGAAATCTGACTGGAGAAAATTGTTACTACTTTTACTACTATTGATTTTTCAAACAATTGTTTTCACGGAGAAATTCCAAACTCAATTGGAGAACTTCATTCACTTCGACTCCTCAATCTCTCTCAAAATAGCCTAATTGGTCATATTCCTTTGTCTTTAGGAAATTTGACTTCACTTGAAGCTTTAGATCTATCTTCAAACAAGCTTGTTGGAGAGATTCCATCGCAATTGGTAGGTTTGACATTTCTTGCAAAGTTAAACTTATCACAAAATCATCGTATAAGATCGATTCCTCGGGGGAACCAGTTCAAGACCTTCCAAAATGACTCGTACAATGGAAACTCGAGCCTTTGTGGATTTATGTTGTCAAACAAATGTGATATTGATGGGGCACCACAACCAGAATCATCAATAGACCATGATGAAGAACACAACATTTCAACCTGGTTAGATTGGAAAGTTATTATGATGGGTTACGGAAGCGGACTATCACTCGGCTTATCTATAGGATATATAGTTTTCTCAACAGGAAAACCACAATGGTTTCTACGGATGATTGATGGACCTATTAAAAGATGTGAGGGTATTCGAAGATGCAATGAAAAGACTAAGCCAAAGTGATTCTCTTGATAAGTTTAGTTCCGTTAAAATTATTATTATTTTATGAATGTAATATATATATACCCGGTTTATCTTAATGCAGGAACTTGCCAGTAAATGACCGTGTAAGGTGTGATGATGAGCGTGATAAAGGATTGCCAAATTTCTGGATTCATCGTTTGTAGTCGAATATATAGCATTAAGTAATGTTGTATCCATATATATTTTACTTGAGGGTTTCGTTAAAAGCAGGAACCTTGTGAAAGGGTGTACCATGTCTAATGATGTGATAGGAATTGCAACCACCTTCATTTAAAACTTGTGCAATCAAGATGACAATTAATTCCAAAGAGAAAGTAGGATAAATTAAAAAATATATACATATATGATAGTATCAGAAGTACTCTATCAACTTGTATCAAGTCAATATCTAAAATCCTGAAAGTAATAATTATCTACAATCAGCAGCGATTTCTAAAACTAAAATAATAAGAAGTGACATATAATTTTATTGCTACTGGGTAATTGAGTTCACAAGAATATCGGCAAGATCCAGTGGGTCGCACACTGACTCCGACTATCATCCGACGCTAGTGATTGATTGTCTATATTTAATGAGTGAGGTAGATGTATTTTTGTTAATTTTGAATGTTTTATTATAAAAGTGTTTAATAAATAAATAAAAATAGAATATATTTTTGTTAATTTTCAAAATTTCACATCTTAATACCCATTAAATTTAATTTTTTTCAAAATATTACTCTAAAAACTATCCAATAATGAATCAAATGAGCCTAATTCTTTGATTTTTTTTTGAATTGTTTATAGATGCATATGGGTGTATATTTTCTTCATGTATGTTTAAACTAACTTAAATGATGCAACTTCCATTTAAAAACAAAACAAAACAGTTTAGACCAACTGAATTGAAAATCAATTTTTAGAAAGTTTTTATCCAGAAGTTTTGAATAAACTTGAGCAGCTAGAATTCAAGTGATATAGCGCTGACAAAGATTTAGATTCATTGTGAAAAGTAAATTTAGAATTGTAAGAGATTAAGTTAACATCTTGGTTATAGACATTAAAAACTTTAATTAAATCAATTTTAAATGTAATATATAGATTATTAAAAAAAATACATTATTTAAGGCAAAGGTTTGAATTCTAGCAAATCGCAACTACATGATTTTAAGAATAATACTTTGCGTATTAACGGATTTTACTAACAAGTGTACTAACCTTATTAAAATCACACATAGTATCTGTACTATGCGTATGATATCTATACTATACTTTAGTTAATACACAGATTAGTACCCATCCGTTAGTACCCATAGCATCACTCTGATTTAGATCAACTCAATGTCGGACAAACAACCATCAAGCCACCACAAAACACCACCATCCACCACAACAAAACCCATCGGTGGCACGCGCAGTGGGTTGGACGTGGGTGTGCTGGGCGGGATTGGTTTGGGAAATATGTCGAGCAGGTGGTGGGCAAAGTGGGAGGAAAAATGGGGGTAGTAGACGACGACAGCTGGCAGTCCAGGCAAATACACAAACAACAAAACTCCAATCCAGATCAATCCAAACTCCCAACAATCAAGAACATGTTAGGAACTATTGCAAACAAAAGAATTAAGAAGTTATTCATCGAATATGTTTGGGGATTTTACCCTCTTTCAAGTGAGAAAGCGCGTTCTCAGCAGTGTCAATGAGGTCTTCAATGTTGTGAATGGATCGCTCTTCAGACCCCAACATGAAAATGGCACGAGCCTCCGCCTTCTTCGAAAACCTTGCTGCTAAACTCAGTTCCAGTTTGGGAGAATTGAGGCTTCTCAGTATCTCCCGATACAAGGACAGAACACGCCCACGGTTTGTTTCTCTTGGCCAGCATTACATGGGTGCTCCCGATCTTAGAGAAGCAATTTGATTGGCTGTTCATGAAATTGTACCAAATGCTAGTCAACCCTACTCATCATTTTCAAATGGGCAGCTGAAGTGCCATGGAAGGTTGGCTCTGTAGTCAATGAAATAAATCTTTTTTGTAGCTTGGAAATGCCAGGGTTGTTGATGTAGGACATCATCAAGAGTTATACACTTATATTAGATGTGGATGCGGGATTTTTTTTCCTTATCTTAACTTCCTTGTTTGAGTTAGACTCGACTTTCTTTTTTGGTTAGATTTATTTCCTAGTTGAAGTTGTTTTCAATTTCTTATTAGAACTTAGGCCACTAAAAGTGTGGGCCTTGGTTGTCATTATTTTTCAGAGTTTGCATATGAGTAATTGTAACTATAACTGTGAATTTTCTCTCCCCAATTTCTGTCAGTTTTTCTCCTATTTCTTCTGTAATTTCTCCATTTTCTCTCATTGTGATCTTCATCAGTAGTGTTAATAGAAAACGTGCCAATGAGTCTGTGAAATTGGTTGTTAGAGCAGTTAAGAAAAGACATTACCCTTCTTACGGGCTAGCAGTCCCCTCTATAGAATTTGGAGGGAACTGATGCCTGTTCAAGATCCTAGCTCTTCCATTCTATGCTTATGTAGTAAAAGATATTAAAGCTTTTAAATTCACTTCCTAACTGATTACATGTTAGTGTGGACATATATTGGACAAATGGATTCTATCTAGTGGCTGATAGTAATAGCTTTTCTTTCATTCACCCATTAGTCAATATTAAGGGGTGATTATTTTAGGCTTACTTCTTGTTTGTTTGTTATGGAGAAAGGGAAGCAGCGTGGGTTACTACGGGTTATATATATGATATTTTGGATTATACATGGACATTGGTGACCTATCGTTAACTTTATTATTGTTTATATTGTTTTTACTATTTAACCTGCAATTTTTTATATAACTGATGATCCAAATATTTGCCTTTTCTATAGCCATGCAACTTTGGGTCTTTATAAAAAGCTCCTACATCGGGCACCTAATGCTCTAAACAGGTATAGCCTCACACTGATCTGGATTTATGTTGGTGCAACCTCTGTAAACATTCTGATTTTGTTATATCATTCTTTTCTTTTTCTCATGAAGCCCTTACCAATATGCAGGTGGGAGATGTGTGCTCAACCAAAGGTGGTGTTGAAAATTGAGAGTGAGGAGGATATGCTAGTTTTGCAAGTTAGTATAGTATAAAAATCTTTTGGTGTCTCAGATTTTAATTAATACTGGCTTTACTAGTATCTCTTGGGAATTTTGATATCAGCCTTTTTAGTTCTTTATTTATTATTATTATTATTTTTTGTATAATATATATTTAAACTTCTTTAATTATTGGAACAATTCCTTTCAATTTTAACAGGAGAGGGCAAAGTCACTTGAATTACCAACTCATATTACAATTGATGCGGGGAGAACACAGATTGCGCCAAGTGAGTTACAAGGGTTTCTTTCCATTTCTTTTTTTTTTTTGTTTTTCCTTGAGATTGGTAATGGTATTGGTTGATGATTGATTTTCATGGGTGCCCTGTAATTTAAAATTTTATATTTACTGAGGTTGCAATTATAGTCTCAAAAGTTTGTCTGAAAAGAAGGGGCTAGAGCTTGGCTAAGTGCCTTAAAAAAATGTCTCATTGTTGTGCAAGAAGTGCCAAGCTAACGTGTATTAATGTAGCTTATTCTTAATACTCCCACCAAAACTAGAACTTTTCAATATTTGTGTTGATTCAATGGTATATGTATGCTGGACATAGTGATAAGTTAAGTTTTTAAAGGATGGGAAGTATTCGCACTAAAGAAGCCCTATGAGAATTTGACTACTTGAAACAAGAAAGATGCATGCCATTTCTAATTTCTCAGTTGTAGGGAGCAGGAAGCATATACATAAGTGACGTTAAGTTTTTGCCTATATGGATGTTTTGCCTATCTGATAATTTTTAATCTGATTGCTATTACTTCAAATTATTGTTTCAAGAATTATCAAAGATAAGTCAACAGTGGTGTCTACAGAATGTGCTTGAACATTTCAGTTTTAATGTAAATTATGTAATAATGATTTCACATTCGTGCCATAAACTTTTTTGAAAATTTCATACTCAAGTTATCTTAAAATGAAATAATTTTCTTCCTTTTTTTTTTTTTTTTTTTTTTTCTCCAGATTCGAGGACGGTGATGGCTATTCTTGGTAAGTCCATTCTCTATGGATCCTGCTAGCTTTATTTTGTTTGATGGAAATCATTGAGTCCTGTTTGGAATTTTATAAGTCATTTCAATTGTTAAATTTTAATTGTACAAAATTCCTTTTGCCTGCATCAATCAGAATAAATGACTACCTTTGGTGGTACCACTATAACGTTTGATCTTTTTGCCCTTGCGACTTCCTAGTTTTGCTGATTTATATCGACTCTTGTCCGCAGGACCTGTTGAAGTGGTAGACGAAGTAACAGGTGGACTGAAGCTTTTGTAGTAGAATCTCAATTCCAAGTGGATGCTTATGCGTAACTTCAAATAGTGGAGTGCTAAAAGCAATCTCAGTTACAAAATCACAGCCAACAATCTACAATCTGGGAAAATTTGGTCCATCCACTTATCTAATGGTAAATTTATTCTATGCAGTCTGGTAAGAAATTCATGCGAGTTATCAACTTTCTTCTACTATTTACGACGATGATGATGAAAATTCTTCTCCATGACCTGTTGGATACTGAATTCTGCTGTGATTTCGATCACAATAGTGTAATGAATATTCCTAGGGTGGGATAGAATTCTTGAGATGTTTTTGTTACAAACCAAACCTTTTACTGGATTCTAATTTTCAGATATGACACGCTTATTCGAAATTTCTCATAGAGAACTGCTATTTTCATCATTATCGTTACAATCTTATTCTTTTGTATTTGTTATAATACAACCCAGGTGCTTCTATTTTTCGGAAAATCAACTGTCTTCTTATAAGATTGTTTTGCTCACCGGATATACTTTAATTTTTCGTCATCTGAGAACCGATTGCATTCCCGTAAACTCACACAACTCCCCACAAATTCAACATCAGCACAATCATTAAAAAAAAAAAAAAAAAAAAAAAAAATCCTAGGAGCACTTCCAATTCACAACATAAATCATCCTACGAAAAAGAAGAGATTTTTGTTTGAATGAGTAAAAGAATGAAATTATTGATTCCTACTTTGTCAAAGAAGCCCAATAAGTCTAAATGGGTCTAATCGAAGAAACAACTAAAAAAAAAGGAGTTTTAAAGCCGCTTGACGCTTTAGCAAAGCCGACTCAGCTCGATTCAAACGTTAGTTTCTCTTAAACCCGTTTCGGAGACCGGTGGACTTAAGCCACTTCAATGGAGCACTATTTGGTGGGTCATAATAATAGGGCTTATTAAAATTTAAATGTTTCTTTGAATTAGGCCCATTTGGAGACCCTTAATAAATGTGAAAACTTCTTTTTACAAAAATTCCAAGAAAAAACATTTCAGAAAATTACTCTAAAGGACCCTTATTGTCCTTTTGACAGACAATGGGGGGTCAAGGAGGATCAGTTGACTCTACTTAAATTTTAAATTTTATTGACAAGTTTTACAAAATTTATCCCTAAATGAAAAGTAAATTACAAAAATCTCCAATCCATCAATTAAGTTAAACTCTTATTTTTCTTTTTGAGCTCTCAAAACTAAATCCCTCTTTCTCTACTTTCTAGACCCATTCTTTCTCTATTGTCCAAAACTGATTCAATAACCTAAGTTTCAATTTTTTTTCCTAAATTTCTAATACTTTATCTACACAAATACAGTTTTTTCCCACCTATCAAGTCAATAAGCCCATTTTTTCTTCAATTTGTCAGGCAATACTAATATATGTATATTTGTATTCTTTTATTTTAAAAGGTTAAGGTTAAATTATAAATTAAGATTCAAGAAGATAAAATTGCCATTGGGACCATAAATTGTACCCATTTTTATTTATTTATTTATTTATGATGATATACTTTTTAAAGTTATTTTAGAGTTGTTATTGGGACCACTAACATGTATTGGCCTTTTTTATGGACAAGATAGGTTCTTGGGACCACATTGTTGTACCTATTTTTATATTTGTTATAAGAAAATGTTTGATTCAAATGAGAGTTAACTATAATTATTTTACAAGTGTTATGAAAAAATGGATTTAATTGTATAAGTGTTTGATTATTTGAATAGAATTTTTACACATATCAATTCAATTTATGCTTATTTTAAATTTAAAATTGTATTATTCTTCCAACTTTGATTCCCTACATTTCATTATCTTTTTCAACACTTTGACTGTAAACTAGGATCGTTTAACTCTATTTAGAAAAATAGTTAAAACTATTCTAGACAGTCTCACCCTTTGAGGGTATAATTTGAATTGATATGTGGAAAACATTTGTGAATGGTTTCATCAGTTTTCTAGCAGACTGATGAAATTTACAACCGTAACTGTATCCAAAAATCAGGAAGTTAAACTTAAGAATTGTTATGCCTAAAGTGTATGCTGACGTCATCACCTCCAATCAAGATTTAGCATTCAACTCCACCGTTCAAGGTTCACCATGTGTACAAGGACAAACAAGAGATAGCTGGATAATTCTTAAACCAACTCCTAGGATATTTTGTGCAGCCATCTACCGAAATTTCATTTAATTTAAGGATATAGATGAAAGCTCTCAATGAATCAGAAGGAAGATCTTCACCAAATCAAGATAACTTGCAAAAGCACTTATTACTTTGAGCTGGGAATGCTATAAATAGGCAACTCTAGTCTTCACAGCAGGATCGATTCTGGAATTCAAACACCCATTCTACAGCAAAAACAACAAAGACACACTATTAGAAAGAGACCGACTTGTCATTCTCTTAGGATATTCCAGTCACTTGTAACCTTGAGAGATCTCTGTCTTTGTAATCTTTACTAGCAATCATACAACAAAGCATAATACAATCACAGTGGACGTAAGACCTGCTCATAGCATCCGGACCTCTCTAAAAATTGATCTTGTCAACTTGCTATTTACGCACTAACAAGCAACTTAATCATAACATTATAAACACTCTCACAATCATCCACAATCATCCTCACGTGTAATTTCTAAGTCTCAAAGCACTTTTCACGTGCGTAGTCGTTAGTGTCAAAATCACCCATCAACAAGAATGAACAACTTGGTTCTCGTTTTGTGCTATACGGAAACAATCTGATGGTGCCGACAACTCAAATCACACTGGTTAATAAAAATTGCTGGCAGAAATAGTTAAGTCTTGCCCACTCTGCAGCTAGTTCAGTTCCTACATGAGCGCACACTACCATGTCCTAATTTGGTATTCAAATGTCATGGATTAAAAACAAAGACTTCACATATACACCACCAAGAATTCTTTAGAATTGAATTCCAATATTCCTTACCACTCTTCCTAGACCTAGTCCATCTTCAATGCAAGAAAATATACGTGGATGCTCTAACGTTATTTATTCTCTTTGGAGGCCATGAGCTTTAGTTTCCATTGTCAGTATCCCTTGACTTTAGATATACAGTTTGGACATTTCAACCATTTGAAGTTCTAAACAATGAAGCAACGCAGCCTCTATACCGCTGCCAAGTAAAAAGAGAGAGAGAGTGTGTTAGGATTCTTTTAGAATTAGGATAGAATTAAGATATTTATGCTATTATCTGATTAAAATAATTAGAATATCTTTTGAATTAGTCAATTAGATTAGAATTAGGTAATTAGAATATCTTTTGAATTAAGCAATTAGAGTCCTTTTAGAATTAAAATAATGTATAAGGCTATATAAAGCCTAAAACAATTAAGGTTAGGTAAGAAATAATCAATAAAATTCTTTTCCCTTAAACTCTTAATTCTCATTCTTCTTGGAGGTTATGTTTCCTCATACAAAGTAGAAATACTATCCTATCATCAGTGCTTTTGTTCCTTTTCCATGGTGGATGAAACACTTACTTTAGATGATCAAGTGACTAAATTTAAAGCGGCAGCAACGTCTTTCAACCCATTCTAATTCACCTTGCCATGATTTGATGGTTCAGATCTGGCGGGATGGACATGTAAGGCGGAACAATTTTTCAATAACCTTGACGCACCATCTGAACAATGATCGATCTGTTTTTTGTTTCCTGACTCTTTCCTAGTATCGTTGGATGTCCTCCAATGGACAAATTCATTCTTGAGATTCTTTTCTACAAGCCTTGGTGGTTCGTTTTGGACCCTCCAAAATTGTGGATTATCAGGGGTAGTTGGCAAAAAGTGCACAGCCAAATGGACCTCGACTTCGTACTGTAGAAGATTTGGAAGACCAGGTAACCAAGCTGACAACTATTCAATCTTCGCGTGGCGCAAAGCATGATTCTATGGAGCGTATTCTCAACAAAATTGTGCGACAACTCCCGGTATTGGAAGCTAAGTTGGATAAAGCCTTATGTCAACCACAATTCATGGCCTTTTCCTCGAAGTCGAAAGTCATTTCTCAAGTGGACCCCATTGACCATTCTGTCGATTATGTCATGGTTGTTGCTGGCCACCAATCTACCATTGACCTTCCCTTGGTTCCTCTCAATCATAATAACAACAATGCCCCACCATTGCCGACAGCCCTCACCAAGCCTCCCACCATGCATTCTGATCTCTCTTTGGTGCCGCTGCCAGGCATCATGTTGGCTCACGATAAGGGAACAAATAACTTCTTTACCGTGCTAATTTTTTATCCCAGCAATGGAACTTTCACCAACTCTTTATTGCTTTAGACCTCATTTGCACCAAATGATTTCTTGTGGTACAGTACCTTGCAACCTTGAGGACAAGGTTGAACCGAAGGGGAAGGAAATGTTAGGATTCTTTTAGAATTAGGATATTCATGCTATTATCTAATTAAAACAATTAGAATATCTTTTGAATTAGTCAATTAGATTAGAATTAGGTGATTAGAATATCTTTTGAATTAAGCAATTAGAGTCCTTTTACAATTAGAATAATGTGTAAGGCTATATAAAGCCTAAAGCAATTAGGGTTTGGTAAGCAATAATCAATAAAGTTCTTTTCCCTTAAACTCTTAATTCTCATTCTTCTTGGAGGTTCTGTTTCCTCATATAAAGCAGAAATGTTATCCAATCATTGACAATGTTGGAACTCAAGCCCAAGGGAGAACCCAACCCAAAAGACCGGCCTGATAGGTGGGAGAGCCCTTAGGTTTAAGTACCACACTTGGTGGTTGTAAGATCTCGATGTGGGATCTTAACATTGCACCCCCATTCAAGAACCAATGTCCACGACAACTTTCACTCTATTGACACTAACCCGATGGTAGCCATTTCCCCCTTTGGGTAGCTTCACTCATTTATTAGTTATTTGATGTTGTACGCCCTCCCAAGGAGAGCACACTGTACCTTAATTTAGCCTATAGGTAGCCCTCTCCGCAACCAAACTCTCAAAAAGAGCACCAATGTTATAATTTAAGCTCATGGGAAAGCCCAACCAAAAGTCGGTCTAATAGGTGGGAGAACCTCTAGGATTAAGTACCACATTTGGTGGGTGTGAGATTCAGATGTGAGATCCTAACAGAAAGAGAGAGAGAGAGATAATTATGATACAAATTCGTTGTTTAAGATTCAATAAGCTAACGACAAATCCAAAAGAACATGAATGTCTTGATTCATACCACAGAAAAGGCATCTGATTTGACAGACACATAATATAAATATTTTAGATATTACTTCGTGATTTTTAATATAAATATTTTAGATATTACTTCGTGATTTTTTTATTTTATTTTAAGTTATAACGTATTATGAATTTATTTCATTTTCTTATGTAACATTGGTTAAAACAAAATTTAT